AGAGAGAGAGAGAGAGAGAGAGAGAGAGAAAGAGAGAGAAGTGGAGGAGGAGAGGAGTAGAGGCCAGCCATGACAACGTGGAGAGAGAAGGAAGGGAAGGGGGAGGGGCTAGGGGACAGAGGGAAGCTAGAGACCAGAGAGCAAGAGAGTAAGTTACCTGGCTGTTGCCAGTTAACTGTGGGGAAGAGCATACCTGGCTGTTGCCAGATAATTGTGGAGGTGGAGTTAGACAGAATCCTAACAATAGGAAATGCAGGAAGGCATCCAGTCACAAATGATTCCTTTTTATATATGATAGGGCTACAGTTTTCTCAAACCACATGCGGTTTGCATACTACAGCAAAGTAAAGCTGTGTGTCAGGCATGATGGAATTTGGGGGTCAGGGAAGCCCTCAGGGAGCCCAGGACATGAATCTCTTCTGGTATAGATACCTGGACTTCTTATCTCTCTCACCTCATCGCAGGTCTCATGCCACAACTAAACATCTTCACAGATGTGTGAAGCTCCTTTCTCCTCTGGAGTTGTTGGCCACCAGACAAAAGGACAAAGAGAGCTGGTGGGGGTGGGGGATGGTGGTAGTGCAGGGTTTGTATGGTGTGAGTATCAACAGCATTGGTTTCTGGGATCAGCTTCAGTGAGACAGCTCAACTTTATTAGGTGTGAGCAAATGTTGTGTACATCTCCTGGAATAGGTAGGGATTTCCAGGGTGAATGTACATAGTTTGTTAGAGTGGGAATGTATCATTTACATGAAGAGCAATATGCTAAGAACCTGCTAGACAAGTTTGTATCTGGAAAGAGGAAGTTGAACCGGTAATCTGGACATAAGCTACGTGACATTTCTCAGAGGATTTCTGGTTTTCCTGCAGGAGGTAGGGGGATGGGGAAGAAGGCTGATCTTCATAACACAGTACCTAATTATCATATGGTGGGAAGGGCTGAGTGGGACTTATGTGCTGAACAGTGCAGCACTTGCCAAAAGCTTTGTGCAGGGTCATCCTCTAGATAAGGTCAGGCCCTTGTGCTTAGAACACTCTCCAGATAAAATCAGGTAGAGAAGTGGGAGCCCCACTGAGAAAGGGAGTCTTCCATTTAGCAGCAGGCTCAGAGAGCTTATCTAAACACAGGGACTGCAACCTTAATTACAGGGTCATCCAATAGATGTGATATATTCATGCAAGTGTGGACTTCAGAGGCTTCCAAAACCCTAGGAACAAGAACAAACTTCAGAAAGTGGACAACTGTGAAACCCACTGAGACCTGTGGGATCGTCCTAACAACTGGCTCAGCTTGATTAGTCTAGGAACAGGTCCAGTTCTGCTTCCCACAAAAATGAACCGATCACTGTATTCAAAAGAAATGGTGAGATTTCATATTCAAGGACAATATATACAAATATTCTCTGGGTAGTTATGTCCTCAGTTCTTGGTGTCAGAGAACTCTGATAGCTAATGTCTAAAAGCCTATGCAGCTCAAATTAATTTTCGGAAATCTACTCCCTAATGTGATATTTAGAGTTAAGACCCATACAAGATCCAGATTGTCATTGTTTGTACATTTATCTACAGAAATGGTTTTTAACCAGTGGGTCATGACTTCATTGAGGGTGGACTTCTTTTCATGGGTGTTGCCTAAGACAATCTGCATATCAGATATTTACATTATGATTCATAACAATAGCAAAATTATAGTTATGAAGTAGTAACAAAAATAATTTTGAGGTTGAGGGTCAATAAAATATGTGGAACAATATTAAATGTCTCAGCGTTAGGAAGGTTTAGAACCACTGATTTAGAGAGTACACAAGGTGTGATCATTAGGTAATGAACCAACTCTTGCCTTACAGTAAATCTGATAGTATATTGACCATACACACATACACACACACACACACATTTATATATAAATATATATATATATATATGTGTGTGTATGTACATGGATCATATATTGTATATATGTGTATATGTATAATATATATATGTTTTTTATAAGTTATTCAGCTTGTGACTTTTTATTTTGATTTGGAGATGGATCATGCTATATTGTTCACACTAGACTGGAACTCTCAGGCTAATGCAATTCTAGCAGCCATCTTTACCAGAGCAAAAAGTAACA